GAACGATTAGATCAACTGAAAAAAAATCAAATGACCTCATTGGGATTTGAACCCGTGACTTTCCGGCTTGTAGCACAGTGCCTCAACCAACTACGCTTACCGCGTGCCCCCACCTAACACACTTGGCAATATCAATGTTTCTTTCTTTTTATTATTGATAGTGAGGTGGGACTAAGTCCCTTGTACTGCGGCCACTTCTGGCATATTGTACCAGCCCCAGATGATAGGTGAGGGTGATTGTGGAGCAATTGGTGGAATGAAGATTGGTAGGGGAAACCGAAGTACTCTGAGAAAACCTGCCCCAGCGCCACTTTGTCCACCACAAATCCCACCAGATCCGGGATCGAACCCGGGCCGCTGCGGTGGGAAGCCAGCGACTAACCGTTTGAGCTATGGCGCGGCCCATATGAATGTTTCACTGTTCGCCCGTTTTCAACAGCAGCAACGATGATACACAATCACCTCTTCCGCTTAATGCACAGTGGTAAAATTACAAATAAACATTATTATTCAACTCTTTAAATCTCAGTGGTTACTGTATCACATTATGAACTCTGTAAGGTGTAAATACAGGTTGATTCAGAAAGATGGACACAATTTCAATTGGCTATATTTCCTGAATTATATGTTGCATTTGAAGTCTGTAAATTACATCTGATTATATATACATGGAAATTTATAGATGTTCAATGTGCCCCCCTCCGGCTGCACGGATAACATCTAGACGGTAGCTGAATTCATCCTACACTCGATGACAAATATCTTGCGTCACTGAGTTCACCGCAGCTGTGATACAGTTTCTTAGGTCATTCAAATTTGTGGGAAGAGGTGGTATACACCACACAGCTGTTTGCGATAGTCCAAGTTCTCTACTAGCACTACGGGTTGACTTCATTGGGCTGCGCTCAAAGTTCACTCGAATGCACTCCACGTTCTCCTCCGATACACGCGATCGGCCCGGGCTTTTACCCTTACACAGAGAGCCAGTTTAACCAAATTCTTTATTCCAACGATAAATGCTCTTCCTCGTTCGAGGTTGGATGTTAAACTTACGACGAAATGCACGCTGCACTGCAGTCACAGACTCACTTTTACTGAACTCACGAATGCAAAATCTTGTGTTGCATAGTAGCCATCTCGCTTACAACTGACGCAGTGATGGAGGGCACTAGCGGTAGTACTAGAAACTTTGTAACATCCTCTTTCAAATGTACTTTACAGAATTCAAATGCAACATATAGTTCAGGAAATATAGTCAATTGAAATTGTGTCCATCTTTCTGAACCACTCTGTACTTCACGTAATTCCCCAAAATAAGGCCTATTTTCGCAGAGCTCAATAAGCAGTTGGTATGCATGGAGATACAGTGTTATTTCTGAGAGGTCCGAATTGTTTCTTTAAATAACAGCTACAGAGTCCTCATAGATTTGGCACGGATAAATGAAAATCAGGTGGCGTTTTCGTATGTTACTTCACGGCACTGTCAGTAGGTACAGTACCGAAAGATTGTATGACAGGCAAATATTTAGAAAGGTTTTTCTGAAGCAGCAGTCTTGGCCTGCCAGGGTAACGTTTAACCGCTTCCCTGGGGGGTTCATAAAACCACGAGAAACCTCATTTGAGTTAACCAGGTCTCGACCAGAATTCGAACACTTTATCTCCCGAATACTAGTTTAAATCGATATTTTGACGGCGAATAATCTGTCAATCTTTCTATCCTGACCCTAAATACTGTAAATTCGTAACTATAAAACTCAATAAGGGAGACGCGATAGCGCAGTCCGGCTGCGGGCTGGACAGCCTAAGGGGTCGGATTTCAAGTCCCGGTAGGGGAAAGGTTTCTTTCTCCTTTCTACTTGGTTCAGACCGGTTCTAGGACCCATCCAGACTCCTATCCAATGGTTACCGGGGTTGATGTGGCCGAGGCTTGAAGCCCACCACTCACCTCAAACTAGAGCCGAGGTCAAGAATACACCCAGATATATCTTCATGGTGTAGTGCCTCATTAGTTCAGATTCGATGGGAACATGCACGTTCCCACCCAGAGTTGTGTCACGCTTAGCAAAAATCAGGGGCCGTTGCACTGCAGGTGTTCAAGGCTGAAGCAGTATGATTCGGGGAGCCTACCCCAGTAATAAGCAGGAAAAGGGTAAAGGTATCCCTGTAAAAGGCCGTGAAGCCCCATAGGTTTGTGGGACGTCGAGGATCCCACATTTTCTAGACAATTGGTTCACAGATGACGGTGAGGTTGTCAGCCTTACGCGCCGACGGCCCTTTACCCTCAGGATGATTCCTGGTACTCTTTCTGCTAGAGACTGAGTCGACCCCAGGGCCATAGTGAGGCTGGAAGGATTAGGTCAATTGAAAAATCTAATGACCTCATCGGGAAACAAACCCGCAACCTTTCGACTTGTAGCATAGTGACTCAACCAACTACGTTACCGAGTGCCAGCGCTAGACAGGTATGTATGTAAATTAACTAAGTGGCTAATTCCATGTACGTGTAGTTGAGTCTGAGAAAACTACAGTTGCTCAACTACTCAGGAATTTTCCAACATTTCATTGGCCCCGAAGTTTCGTTTCCGTGTTTACAAGGCATCTCCACTGGTCCCTATCCTGAGTTTTCTCCGTGTATGTAAACATCTGTTGAAACTTACGGCATATACAGTGTTATTCATAAGTCCGTGAAACATTTTGAAAATTTACAATAAATAAACTACGCAATGGATGCCAAATTTTATTATACTGAAATAGAGATAAACTCACTAAGTTTCTTTTTACACAGTTCACAGACGCTCAATATGTCACCTTTGCTGATACGGCAGACATCTATGCGATAATCCATTTCGTCCCACACCCGTGTCAGCATATCGCGGTTGACCAGAGCCACAGCAGCGGTGATACGGTTGCGATGATCCCTGAGATTAGTAGGCAATGGACGCTTTAAAACCTGGGAGAGATTCATTCTCTATCTGCGTAAGAATTACCATGATCCGATGCATAGTTTATTTGTTGTGAATTTTTAAAATGTTTCACGGACTTATGAATAACTCTGTATAATGATTTTATTTCGCAGCAAACAGTGAACAGAACGGTCTCAGTGTGAGCAAAGATTAAAATCCCAAATCAAACAAGAGCTTCGTAAGGAAGCCGCCAATTATCCTTGAAACTGCTTAACAGGGAAAAGCTGAATGTAATCATAGCTTCGTAAAGGGAATCCTGTCACAAATGGAGGATTTTGATAAAGTGGGCATTTTGGGATCCCGAAAGAGGGGCTCGTGCGTAGAGATATTTAAGTATATTTCTGGAAGGGATCTCAGAAAGGCAATCAGTAATTCTGAGGTCGGAAGAGGCTGTCGGAATTATTGGGTGAGTAGAATTCTGAAAAGAGAGGTAGCCGATTCTATTCGGGCCACCGTTTACACGGGGGAGTCTTCCATTGACAATGATACTGCACTGAACTGAACTGCTCATGGCAGAAAAACCTCGTACCACGGTCAAGCAAGAATGGAGAACCTCGGCTAAAGGCCGCCCGCAGCACTCTGCCGTGACTCCCTGAGAAGACCAAGCTTCACAATATTATAGTGCGCATAGCAACGGCGCTCACAACAAACCCGTTTCTGGAAAACGGTTGGGTAAACACTTTCCCGCGGCAACGGTAACGCGTGCTACGGGAGAAAGAGGGGGTTGTCTACGCGGTCCGCGCCGAGGAGTTATAAAAAGAAGAGAATTAGGGCGACGAGTTCGGTTGATAGGTGGCAAGGGTTCTGCATGGGAGGCTGTGAAGATCGAATCTGAGAAAGTGGAGCTGAAGAATCTCCACTGTTAAAGCCGTTGCCAGGAAATGTCTGGTGAAGACATAGTAGGGTGGAAAAGGCTTAGCGGGTGCTGTGGTGATTTGTGAATTGTGGAGATTCGCGGTGGCGCTGTAATTACTTGTAGTTCCGAGTCGTGTGTATAAGTGGTCAATAAATGCATTCAGCAATAAAAACCCCGTATACAGTCACCCCGAAATATAATTACAAGGATATGTGGGGAGAACTAATTGCCTACTTTTCTTGCACAACATATTATTCCATATGATACAGACCACGTGGGAGCCGGGATAGTGCAGTCGGTATAGCGACTGGCTAAGGGCTGGGCGAACGAGGGGTTGGAGTTCGAGTATCAGTAGGGTCAAGAATCTTCTCCACGTTATCCAGACCGGTTTTGAGGTCCACCCAACCCCCTATCCAATGGGCACCGGGGGCATTTTCACCTGGGGTAAAGCGGCAGGGGCATGAAGCTGACCACTCACTTCCAATTAGTGCCAATATCAAGAAAACGTAGACCTATACATCCACTATCCCATACGCCTTCATGGCGTAGTGCTTAATTCGTTGAGCATAGGGACCACTTTACTTTTATCAAACCGCGTGTTTTTGTTGCTGCTGGAACGCGTTTATCGAGCCGTTGCCTAGCAACGATAGGGGAGGGCCACACAGAGAGATGATCTCATAAGACTTTTCTTTTCAAATATGAAAAGTATCGTAAAAGCCGCGATTGCGAATCTTATACATAAAAGTGTAGCTGAAGAAGTATGTACGCGGGAATACGAAACGGCAATCCATCTGTATGCTCGATCCCGCCCGAACTAATTCTCAACTGCTACCATCTCCTTTCGGTTTAACAGAGGTTTCAAATTTCGGTTACCGAAAAACACGATACTCCGTCACGGCCGAGAAATCATCATCCTGATTTTGACTGGGTCACTGATACTCGATCTGTCATCAACACCTTGTCACGACCTATCCTAATCTCATAAGGAGATGACTTCGTCGTCAGCATGCACGGCACAGCGGGGACGATGATGGCGTTGCTCAGTAGTGGGCGATCGTACACCTGCCCTTACCAACGATTCTGCAAATTTGTGCATCTACATCACACATTCGTGAATTACACCCTAAAGTTCTGAGGATACAGAGGTTTCGTACAAATTGGGCAAGGTGGCATTTACTCACCCGTCTCTCCTCCTCCCTGGCCGCCCGCAGATGAGACTCGATAGCGTCCAGATCGATTTTGGGCATCGCCGTTTCAATGTTGTACACATCGAAACCACCTGTAACCACAAAGACGGAAAGGACGATACAGATTTTGAACAATATAAAAAATTACATTTCCTTAAGAGAGTACACCAACTTCACTATGCTGACAAACTGATATAGAAAAATAATTTCTTTATGTTGTCTACATTACAATCTCTTGACGTCGGCACCAGATGGAGGTCAGTGGTCTGCTTCGCGCCCCGTGCCCCTTTACCCCCGGTACCCACTGGATACGACAGTTGGTGGAAACACCACAGTGGGTCTAGACAATACCGAGTAGATATAAATTCCTTCCCCCTGCTGGGAATCGAATCCCGACCGTCCAGCTCGTAGCCATACTGAGCTAACTCATCTCCACTACTCGTGTACAGTATTACAATTATAGTGCTGAATTTCCATTAAGTAAAAGAAGAAAATAGCAAACATATTGTAGCGTATCCAGCCGTTGCCATGCAATGACCGCGAGGTAGGCGAATAAACAACGGTCTTATGCAACCCGTTTCTAGGCAACGGGTCGGGAAACCCGTTCTCGCGGCAATAAGTACGCACGCAACAACAGAGTTATTGTTGGAAACGGTATTTTCTACTCGGTCCGTGCAAAGGGATATAAGGAAGACAATTGGGGCTAACCAGTCAGGAGAGTGGACCAGTACAGAGGCGGTTTCGAGTGCCTCCAGCGCAGACCTACGAGCCGTAGGAGGCGACGCAAAGGGAACACAGTGCCTGGGGGTATAACAGGGCCACCCTGTTCCTGGGGGAAATAAATACGGGGACCTGGCCCTCCAGGTTGGAGGAGTCTCGAATTTCTGAAAGTAAAGTGTGGTCATGAGTCCCGCGGGACTCGGACCTGAGAATGACTGCGCTGGCGAGGACCAGCAGCAATTGTAAACGGCAGACCCATCCTCTCGTCAGAAAAGACGTTACATAAGGAATATGACCGCAAGTTTCAATTGAAAAAAATGCTGGTCGTGGGTCTCAAGTGGCTAGGCGCCAAGATGGACTAATTGGCGGTAAACCGCCATTCGTAAAGTAACTCTGACACTGACTATATAGGAGGCTGGGTTGCAGAATTTCTTAAAATTCCTATATGCGGCTCCAAAGTGCGGAAGTTTGGCCACCCCTGATGTACAGCCTGAGCGGCCGAGAAGGCCGCCAAGTCCTTCTATATACGTACTATATAGCTCTGAAATTACGCGAATTTGAGCAAACAGCTCAACGAATTGTTCATCGTTGACCCGATGCATGAACGTTAAATTAGGTAGCTTGTAACCTTTTGTTTCAGTGTATCGTTTCTATTCTATGAATACTGACAACATCTTGATGTGAATATGTGACGTTTAGTATGTTATATAAAAGAAGCGGTTTACGATTGACTCTTTGTGCGTGTTATTCATGGTAGATGACTTTAAAGGTCCCCTCAATATATCATTTAACATCATGTGGGACTGAAAAGAAACACTGGAGAAAACTGGGGAAATTAATAGTCCTGCGGCGTGTAGAACCCTTGCTAGACAACGGCCGCGAAAGCAGCAGCTATACAACAACAGTTACTGAGTAACGGCTTCGCATATAAACAAGTCTGCACAGCAAAAACTGAAAACAGCCAAAGAGGAAAGGTGTTTTGTGTGAGGTCCGTGCCGAGATGTTATAAGCAGCACAGTTAGTGAGTCAGCAATCGGCGATCTGCACACATCTTTCAACTTTCCGTATGTATACGATTATATAACAAAATTGTGCAGGCAACAAGCCGAAGTCATACAAAATCATAAGAATGAACATGTCGTGATAGGCTCAAACTTGATGGCGGACAAGCTTATGATCGATCAAGTGGCTAAGCTGCCGTTGTAGCGTACGATACGTAAGATAGACATGATCTGCTCTGCAAAGCCTGTACTGACAGGGAACTTGTATACAGTGCACAAGGAAGAATATTTAGTAACATGCTACATGCGCGATACGTACACTTGACANGATATTTTGGGGGAACTGTTATTATAGTAACACAATATTTAAACTCCAAAAGAGAATTATTAGAATTATGGTAGGGATTGGAAATAGGAAATCGTGTAGAGAATACTTTAAAAAACTAAATATATTACCTTTACAATCACAATATATATATTTACTTTTGATATTTGTGATTAAGAACAGTGAACACTTTAAAAGAAACTCCCAGAGGCATAACAGAGACATTAGGAACAGTCTCGATATGCATTACCCACGGTCTCATCTGTCACTGTACCAAAAAGGCTTACATTATACAGGGATTAAGGTTTTTAATAGACTGCCTGCTCCTATAAAACTATTGTCAAATGATATAAAACAATTTAAAAGCGCACTGAGGGAATTTCTGTATCTTTATTCCTTTTATTCACTAGAGGAATATTTTAATATAATACAATAATATACTTTATCATTTTATTTTGATTTTATATTTATAATGTTTATATATTTGATAATATTATATTTATATCTTGATTTTAGCATACTGTGCAGAAATGTGATAGATCTATTATATGTTTATGCTATTCTTATTTTATTGTACTTATTTTATTGTTGACAAAGCTCTGTATAGGAACTGTTTTTTCTTTTATAATCAACTTTGACATGTTCTACATCCTGTGGCATGTTTGCCAATAATGATCTATGGAACAAATAAAAAGTGAAAGTGAAAGTGAAAGAGTTCAGTTGGAAAAAATGTCTGGTCGTGAGTCTCAAGGCGCATGGCACCAATACGAACCGACTGGCGATAAACCGCTTTGATTTGAGTCAGTTAGTTGAGAGTCGACAGCTGGAGCAATGAGTTATATGAGAGACAGTCCGCAGCCGGTAGGATTGTGAGCAGGGAAGCAGAGGACATTGAGATCCTTCACCAGGCAACGACTGGTAAACACACAGCAAACTGAGAATACTTCATTTGTGCTATAGTTACAGTGATCTCTGGAGCGCGTAACTCAGTGTTAAGTAAATCCAATTACCAACTCTAAAATTGTGACAGTACGAAAACTTATAGGCCTCTAACAAATGACAAGACTTCCGTTGAAAATCCAGTGGGCGGTACCAGGCCGGATTTACCCCTGCGGGGGCAGCAGTGCAGTCAAAATGTGGGGACCCCTATCAATCAACATGAATTCAAAGTTTGAATTTTTTCTTGGATCTTATAATAACAAAGTAACGCAGACTAATCTTTCATGTTACAGAAGCAGTAAAATTTGTGGATCCTATTTCTGTTTTGTGGAGGCCCTGGGAGTTGCTCCCTCTCAAATTCAACCCTAGGCATTGTAGTAAGCAATAATTAAATAAACATCATACAAAGCTAGAACACTTTTTCCTACCGAATACGAACGTGCCCGTGATATCTATAGCGAGACAATAATTTTGTACGTCACTAGAGCGAGAAAGGCGATGTTTGTGAAGCAAAAAAGCAATGACACGACATCATAATTAGGGTGGAATGAAATATGGGATCGTAACACGAGCTGGCCAGTTACATTACATCTGTATCATCCACGTAGCATGGCCTAACTCACAGACTGCAGGGCTATACTGAGCGTTAGTTCAAGCTGCAGGTAGTGTCGCATCCACGTAGCATGACCTAACTCACAGACTGCAGGGCTATACTGAGCGTTAGTTCAAGCTGCAGGTAGTGTCGCATCCATGTAGCATGGCCTAACTCACAGACTGCAGGGCTATACTGAGCGTTAGTTCAAGCTGCAGGTAGTGTCGCATCCATGTAGCATGGCCTAACTCACAGACTGCAGGGCTATACTGAGCGTTAGTTCAAGCTGCAGGTAGTGTCGCATCCATGTAGCATGGCCTAACTCACAGACTGCAGGGCTATACTGAGCGTTAGTTCAAGCTGCAGGTAGTGTCGCATCCATGTAGCATGGCCTAACTCACAGACTGCAGGGCTATACTGAGCGTTAGTTCAAGCTGCAGGTAGTGTCGCATCCATGTAGCATGGCCTAACTCACAGACTGCAGGGCTATACTGAGCGTTAGTTCAAGCTGCAGGTAGTGTCGCATCCATGTAGCATGGCCTAACTCACAGACTGCAGGGCTATACTGAGCGTTAGTTCAAGCTGCAGGTAGTGTCGCATCCATGTAGCATGGCCTAACTCACAGACTGCAGGGCTATACTGAGCGTTAGTTCAAGCTGCAGGTAGTGTCGCATCCATGTAGCATGGCCTAACTCACAGACTGCAGGGCTATACTGAGCGTTAGTTCAAGCTGCAGGTAGTGTCGCATCCATGTAGCATGGCCTAACTCACAGACTGCAGGGCTATACTGAGTGTTAGTTCAAGCTGCATGTAGCATGGCCTAACTCACAGACTGCAAGGCTATACTGAGCGCTAGTTCAAGCTGCAGGTAGTGTCATATCCATATGAAATGACAGCACCGATCAAAGGATAACCAAATCCCGCACAAAGCACTCTGGCCACACAGTGAGTCCCATGGGTGAGACTGAGTCCGCTTCGTATTGGGGCCACTGTTTGGCCTTCCCAGATGACAGAAGATGGTGTTTACGGAGCAATCGGTGGAATGCGAATTGGCAGGGGAAACCTCAGAACTCGAAGGAAACCTGCCCTAGTGCCACTTTGTCCACCACAAATCCCACATGGCTTGACCCGGGCGGCCGCGATGAGAAGTCTGCGACTAACCGCCTGAGTTATGACAGGTCCTGGCAATCAAACGAGACTACTTGCACCTGTAGGACCGTCCAGCTTTAAGTAATTCTGGATGATCCACCAATATAGGTACTCAATTTCTCATGAATTGCTTATGAAGTGTCATATTATTGAGATTTATGGCCCGGGGGTCGGGGTTCAAGGCTCGGCAGGGACAGAGGTTTCTTCCCTTGCTCACAGCGTCCCAAACGGATATGAGACCCGCTAAACCTCTTATCTAAAGGATAGCTGGGGTTATTTCCTGGGGAGAAAATAGGCCGGGGCGTGAAGGTGACAACTCATTTCCATCAAGTGTCTAGGTTGGGAATATATGGGGCTGCATCTCCA